TGTATTTAGTGAAGCAGTGTCCGGACCGGGAGTTATCACAGGAGGCTGTCAGTCCATGAAATCATTCATTGTGTTTTGTCAAGAAGTTTTCTTTATTTTGGAACACCTACAATTGGAAATACTCTCAGATATACTCAAAACTGCCCCATATTTACATACCTTAACTCAATTAAATGGGAAGTGGCCATCTGGAAGAGGGAGGGGACTCCATTTCGTACACACTGGGCAAGACTTACCTGATAATGGAGGTAACTGGGGAACAACAATGTTTAGAAGTCAAGTGGAGAGGCTCAGCCACAGACAACAAGCACCCTGACCTAGCAGTGCACACAAAGGACCCCAGTGTCTCTGAAAATACTCGATGTAATTGTCTAGAGTAACAGAGAGTAAAGAAGATGAATGGTCATCTTCCCCATCAAAAGAGTCAATACAAACCACATGGAGCCTTAAACTATAATTATGTAGCTAGTACTTTAGCCAGGTTGCTAGCTAGAAGTGAAATGGGTAGCTACCAAGGATGGAGAAGAGTTACTTAGCTTCTCAAAGAACCTTAATGTGCGGCTTGAATCAACATTTTAAAATTTATTTAAAAAATGCAAAAAGGAATAAGGACCAAAGTGTCTTCGGCTGGGAGAAGCATGAAGTCGGTGGTTAAATGCCAGTTACTTTCTTTTCCCTCAAAGACTTCTGTTTTCAGCTAAAGATTCAGGGTCCCGCCTTCGCAGATTGATAAGCAAAGGATAGTGATCCAAGTTCAGGAAGCCAATCTGAAGAGCTTGTGGGTGCTGCCCCTCCTCCTAACCAGACTGGCCAAATGACTTCATGAATCAGATTGAGAAGGTACCAGCAGATCTACCTTTTCTCTAAGCCAATAGAGACCACCATTACCATCTGGGACATAGAACCAAAGGGTGTCTCTATTAGAAAATAAGCGTAAGCCACTCTTCATTCCCTTGCTCTTAGTAGAAAGGTAAGAGAGGACTCCTCAGCAAAGAGGCTGAGCCGGGTGTTAAGGGTACATAAGACTTCAACAGGCGAGGAACAGACCTTTTCCAGGTGAAGGTACCAGACCAGAAGCAACAGGATGCATGGTGTGTTTGGAAATGAGGTATAGCCTAATCCACATAAAATGTATACTTCCTGATATGGCTGTTCTACTCTATTGTGGGGGTGGGGAATGAAAATGGAGTCTACCAGGATGGGAGTTAGTGTGACGATAACTAAATATAAAATACCTATTGGACCAAGTCAGACACAGTAATAGGAGTTGTACCTCAAATTAGTATATAGAAATGTCTCCTCATGTAAGCCGGCCGATTTTATTTGACACTGAATCTTCAATCCCAGACAATGGCATTATCTCACTGGACAGAGCTCATGTTCTGTCCCCAGTCAGTGCACTCCCTTATACAGAGCTTTGAACTTTTATGAAGTTCAAGTGAATAAATACATTCTGCTCTCACACCCTATCAGTTCTCCTTTCAGTTTACAAAATATAAAACAATTATGAACAATTATGAAGAATTATGAATTCTCAACACCCACTGTCCTCCAGGCACGTTCATGTGTGGGAGGCTTCTTCCTGCAATTCATCTCTATTCTAATCCAATAAAAGTGAACCAAGTTGGAGCCACACCCCCCAAGCTTCCTGTGTGAATAAATATGGATGTATCCTACTCAAGAATTTCTATCTGTCTGGGCACATTCTAGTAGTTAGTGAGCTTCAGGTGGACAAAGCTACTGCTGAACTCCACACAAGTATTACTTTTTTATAAAAATTATGTTTTATGCCATAGGTCACCAGACTTCAGAAATAAGTGGGCATCTGCAGTCTCATTGTGGCTTTCCCAAATACATATTACAGTAACATGAAAGAGAAACAAACATGCAGAAGTGTCACTTACAAAATGCGTACTACAAATAACATGGAAGAGAAAATAAAAATTAATGTGTCATAACATTTATATTAATTCCATGCATTAAAAAAAAAAAACTGGTAACCAACAGAGATTGAAGCGTCACTGATAGACCAGGCCTACCCTCACAGCTCAAGATCCAGAAACAACAAACAGCTGTGGTCCGAGCTGTGGTAACACCCAAGACCCCTGAAGTAGCTGGCATTCAGAAGGAAGGTAGGAAATGTTAGCCAACTGGCTAGGTGGAGGCAGAGATAAGCAGCTTCTTCTTGCTGCTGTTGGGAAGACAGAGTTTCCCTGTATGTTGAGGTAAGAGACAGGGAAACTTCTTCCATGGTGGGTCCACGATGTGTCTGTTGTTGACACTTCTACAGAGACAGGAAATACTCAGAACAAACTGAAGGCAAGCTTATTAGAGTCCTGGCATTATCTCTGTGTTGTTTAAAAGATAAACTTGGTCTCAATGCTTTTTTGTTTGTTAGCTCAGGGTGAGATTAAGCACTTAACTTTTAAGGTGATATACTGAGAACGATATCAGTCCCATTTATAAATTACTTACAGAATTTCCCATTTAATATTTAAAAGTACCACTAAGGGAGATTACTGTGCATGAAAGCACTAAAACCCAAGTCTTCAGTATTTGTATTCCCTCACGGCTTCAGCATACACAGGACTCAGAACTCTCCATAGTGAGTGTGTACATGATCTGTACACATGATACAAAATTATCCAGCCTAAAAAATAAATGAGATTGTACTACAGGCTTCAGCATGTTATGAACCAAAATCATAATATGCTAAGTGAAATAAGCCAGTCATGAAAGGGCTAAGCGATTCCACGTGTCTAAAGTACCTACTAAAGTCAAATCCACATGGATAGAAAGCAGGGTGGCAGTTTCCAAAGTCTAAGGGATGGTTTGGTAATTGATAGCGTTTCAGTTTTGCAAAATGAATGTATTTCTGGGAATGATGGTCGTATTGGTTCCGTGACAATGAGAGTAAAACAGATGTCACTGAACCGTCCCTTAGAAGTGGTCGAGAGACTGACTGAGTGTGGTGGCTTAACCCTGTAATCCCAGCACTGGAGAGGCTGAGGTAGAAAGATGAGGCATTCAGGCACAGCTCTGAGAGACACTATTTAAAGATTCAGGGGTAAGGCACACGCCTACCTTCACCCAGGAGTACAGAGACAAGGAATGCAACCTGAGGCTGAGGAGCCGAGCTCACAGAGGTCGTCCAGGTGAGCCTGATATTCATAACAGGGTCTTTCAGAAAACAAAACCGGTCAAGACAGAACATTTGTGTGCAATTTCACAATTAAAAAATAAATGCTGCCTTAAAGTATCTTTTAAAATAACTGGTAGGCTGAGCAACAGGCAATGGGGACAGACTTGTGCAATTTCCAAGAAGTCACACAAGAAAATAGATTACAAGGTAGAGGGGAAGTGAAGACAGCACACAGGAACCATTTTCTAATGCAGCTACAAAGGGAGCTACAAGAACAGTTTGATTGTTGCTTAGGAGATGCGAGAGAGTTTGAGGAACTTTTACTTTTGCTTCGGTAAGACAGAGGCAGGCAGGAGCAGAAAATGGTAAGAGGTAAAAAAAAAAAAAAAATGCTGGGCGGTGGTGGCGCACGCCTTTAATCCCAGCACTTGGAAGGCAGAGACAGGCGGATTTCTGAGTTCAAGGCCAGGCTGGTCTACAGAGTGAGTTCCAGGACAGCCAGGGCTACACAGAGAAACCTTGTCTCGAAAAAACCAAAAAAAAAAAAAAAGAGAGAGAGAGAGAAATCCAAGAAAGACCAAAGGAAGCACGCCAGGTCCAGTGCTGGGTAGAAGCCTTCAAAGTCGACCCGAGTGCATGGAGAAACCTGGGCACACTGGTACAGTGAGATGGGGTGGTACTGTGTTAATCCAGAGTACAACTGGAGAGCAAAAAAAAAAAAAAAACAAACAAACAAACCATGGGAACAATTGGTTATATACTCAGAAGCGGGTCAGTTAGCAAACCAAGATGGAAAGGGGACTGTCCAAAATTAGACTGGAGCTGTCCTGATAAAGTGGAGAAAGGTCACAAGTCCCTGCGCACCTCTAAAGGTTGGTGCAGACTGGGCACAATCCCATCCACCCCGAGGACAGGGCATCTGTGTCCCAAAAGAGGAGGCTGGCATCCTTTTAACCACTCCCTGCTCATCTGCTGCTCCATTGCCAGTACAGGGCAAGGCTCCTGTGGACACGCACATCCCTCCCACGACAGAAGAAGCACACAGGTGTGCTTTACTCTCAGATAAATGCTGTTTTCCAGGAAAAAAAAAGGGGGGGGGGAACAAAAACAAACAGACAAAAACCCCTTAGGTAGTTAAAACTATGTGAATCAAAACCTTAAACACGTCCAAACAGAGAACACTGTGGCTATTATTACTACAGCTTCACACAAAAGGTCACAGCGAGACATGGGAACAATCCATCCTCCTGCTGGCTGGGTTCCTCTCCCTCTTCACACACCCCTTCATGCTGTTTACCCTTGGTCAGGCCTTGACAATTTGTAACCCTTAGCAAATCTGCATCAGCTCCAACTCATATAAGCACAAACTAGAGCCGGCCTCCAAAAGCTGGTGGAAATCCGTAATGCTCGATGCTCAAGAATTTGGCGAGCCATCAACATTTCAGAGGGTACTTTAAATGTTTTGCTTTGAGACCTATCACAGCATTTCCCGCCTGTCAACATGAACAGCCCAGGCAAAAAAGCAAAGTACATTTCCCTCAGTTCCAGTCAGATGTTACACTCAATCGCTGAACCAATCTCACCTACAGGGGCTGTGGAGACCAGAAGAATCGGTAAGTAGGAAAATTCCATCCAGTTCACGGTATAGTAAAGGACTACCAGTAATTCCAAAGTAAGATGGCTTTCTCTACTTCAATCTCCTAAAGTGTTCTTATGTGACGAATGGAACACTAGATTTATAGGTGAGATTGGACTTTTCCTATGTTCAACAAAGTAATGAAGCATGATTTTCTTCTGTGGGCTCAGGGACTAGGAATTGGGAGTTCCTAGTTTAAGCAAACAGTGAAGCTGATGCAGGATAGCAAATGTGCGTGGGCAGAGATGGGGTTAAAAGGAGTTATCTGATACTGTAAAGTGGACAAGTGCAGCTGGGTTATGACGTAATCCTCAGAGCAAAGGCAGTCCAGTAACTAAAATGCTCAGGAAAGAAAACAAATGCAGAGCATGAAGGCCACGGCCCCAGCAGAGCAGACGCCAGACGTGAAGGACCCCATGCACAGAGTCCTGGTAGTCTTCCTGAAGCACTAATGCCTAGGCTACTGATGTGGACGTAATGGTAAGTCACATTTTACTTTCAAAAGAAAGAAACAGGAATTAAATTGGCTTTATAGCGCTTGTGTCTTAGGGCTTAAATTTTCATTTCCTTGATTCTTAAGTTCCAATTTCTTCCTCTAAGGCTTAACAAGCATAGAAAGAGTAGTTTTAGTTTCAATTCATGGGTGGTGAGGTTGAAAGATATACTTATAAAGTTTAATCTATAGTTTACTTTTCTATAAATTGTAAAGTAACTTAAATGAAGCCTAATATTTTTCTAACATAAAATATGCTTACAGTAAAGTTTATTTATTTAGCTACCTAAAGATTGATAGGTTAAAAAGCCCCCATTTGATGGAAAAATTGTAAACTTGCAACTGAATAGAGAGATTTTGAGACTCAACCACAGCATGCCCTCATGCTAAAGAAAGTTTAAAAGTAGTAAACTCAGCATTTACTATATACTGACAACTTTAAAATATTAGTTAATCACAAGAAATTGTCATGGTGGGTATGAAATACCTTCAATTTGTCCACTTTTTCTAATAACAAAGGGACGAGCCCTCTCTGCCTTTAGGCATATCATGTGTATAAGAGCAAAGGGACACCATGACACCATGTATGGTTTTATATGACAGGGAGGATTTCTAGTTATAACAGCTCCATGCACTGAGCTCATAGGTCGTTGCCCTCTAAGACTTCACACACATGCTGTCAGATCACTGGATGTTCCAAACAGCCAGGAGACACTGGGAAATCTCTTTATGTCTCTGTCTTACCAATCTGAAAATTAGTTTTGCAAGTTTCAGGGGCAAGGTGATTTGTCTAACTAAAGGGCAAGGCTAATATTTAGAGGAGCCAACCATCTGGCTCCAAATCTACTTCCTTGTCTTTAGCATACAATGATTATGGCTAATAAAAATTGTAATTTATGCATGAATAGAAGAGAAATGCAAGACTGTCAAAAACTAGTTAACCCTTCAGCTGGATGTTGACATAACAAGGGCAGTAACTGCATTATATAAAACAAGTCAATATTATTGGGAGTCAAAAAAAGGGAAGAAGCAAGCTTTGCCGATAAACAGCTAAATCTTGATATACTGAGATCCTGAATGACATTATGTGTTTGAGATTTTAACTTTTTAACTGGCTCCTACTCTGTCCTAGCACATATTTAAACAAATAAATATCAACAATAAGAAAACACTAAGGTTTATGTATCTGGCCCGTAGTAGCTGTTCAATAAAAATTTAATTTTTTTCCCAGCCTCTGCACCAATAACCCAGTAAGTGAGAAGTAATACTGCCTAGGGCAAAATCAACACAAAATTACTCAACCTGTAATCCAAAACTGAGATAGTTACAAAGGCATTTGTGAAACTCAGGAAAAAGGACACCTTACATACCAACTTACAAACCATGTAAACTCTACAGAAAACTGAACGTCGTATCAAAGCACGGGTAGTGAAAACTGTCTACCAGATCCACCAAGTGCAGCCTACCCTTCGCGACCTGCACTCCACACAATCCAGCCATTCCTTACTAACCTGAGGTCTATAGTCAGG